GCACTCTTGCCGGCTACACTTTGTCCATTGAAGCGACTGAAGACGCCTACGGAGTTAAGCTGCCCAAAAATAAAGAGATTTTAGTCAAAGTGGATGCTGACACGAGCGAATACATGCCAACCGGACTGGTTTCCGCCACCAAATACGACGTCTTCATCTGGGCTACCACCAAACCGGACCCTAATGGCAACGGTGGTGGTGATGGAGAAGTGGCATTCTTGGTCTTCAACACATTGCCATTCTGTGAGTCGAACAGCCTGTACTGGTATGGCCGATTTTGTCTTTTTTTGGTATGAACCACCTTGGCTTGATGTTGATGATGAAATGTGTAAATGATTTTACAGTGTCATACAATTTCATTGAGCCTTGCCTCCGAAATAGCTTTATTCTTGCGTTAAAACTGGCAACACGTCTGCACACCTTCATGCAGCAAATTAAGAGTGCCAGTAGGAGATGGTGCAGATTTAACTTTCAAAGCAAGCCGGGCTTCATAGAATTCACACTTCTAGTCAGGTTATAAGCCGTCAACATGGGAAAAACAAACATTTTCATCCTTTACTTTCGTGACGCGACCTAGAGTGATTACGTTTTTATTCAAGAATTAATAAACCTACTTATACAATTTATAAGTAGTGTCGTTATTCTAATGACAAACATGTTCCTTTTATCGGCAATCACACAAAAAATTGGTGTTGAAATATGCCTGGCTTGTCTCGAATGTCATATCCGCCGTGCGACCCCTGGCGCCCGTGACCTGATTTTCGTGAAACAAAACCATCCGTCCTTAAATCATCCTAAACCGCCTAAAGTGATTACTTCCTCATCGAGCACTTTAATAAACATTACTACTTGTTCTTCGTTTATAAGTAGAGTGTGGAGACTACCGGTAATCGATTGTTATAGCAAATATAACATTGCTTCATCCACAATCCCCCAAAAGAATGTGATTTGGTATAATGGCTGGCCTACCTTGAAATCCGCATCTACCTTGTGACCCAAAGGCACCCTTGGCAGTCTGGAGTGGCGATTAGCATATCGAGATTATACGCTTCACAGTCATGGTTCGAGTCCCGCTGGGGTTGTTGATAAGACATAGGTGAGGTCGAAACTGCTGTCCGCTTCAGCCCAAATGAGAACACCTTTTGGGAAAGCAAGACAATTCGAAATTGAATGGAAATGTAAGGTCTACTCATGCGATTGTAGAAAAATTCAACTATCAGACCTTTATCACATTAAACGAAATAGGATGAATATATCTGTTGTAGACGTTACTACTAGTTAACAAATAAGTAGACGGATTAATTCTATTGGCCCCAACATCATTAGAAGGCATTTCGGCTGAGTCTGCCCAACAAAACTACATCTTTTTAGTGAGGGCAGCTGATTATGCTTCCCATCTCTTCGGCCATAATTTCCTGGCCACCGCTGCTTCACCTCTCCAGATATACCAAATCAACTTAGTCTCTAGGCCCTCGGAAGGGCATCGCTTTTTGTTTAGACGGTTCTATTATTGTCAAGACTTTCCTGTTGTGTGAAGGGGCAAGACTCGTAGATTGGCTACAACAGTATTGTTTCATCATGAAATTGTATGCGAAATGAATGTCTCAACCGCGATGGTATTTCAAGAGACTCATCAAAGCACAGTTATCCATCATAGGCATGAGCATGCTTCTACTTTCAAGTTAAGCTTTAGGGCAGAGTCTCGAACAAATAAAAATTCGAATAAAAACGAATAAATAGAAAATAAATAAAAGTTTAAAAAAATTGAAAAATATAAATATAAAAGTATAAATCGCAAATATGAAGACAAAGATGATTTGGCCTTCTGTACCAGTCGCAGTCTCTTTTGGCTTTATAGTTTTGGTCCGACCTCGGTTTTGCAACTTGCTCGGAGCGTCAATCAAACCTTGTGAGATGTACCAAGTTCTGTGTTCTCTGTCCTCGATTGTTCGTGCTTTCCAGCAGCGGACCATTAACTTGGTGCATTGCCAAACGTTTCGCCGGCATCGTCAGTGAGAAGCAACTTGTCAAAAAATTGGTCAAGGAGAATGTTTTCAATTGAAAAATTGCTAAGTTGTAACGCTGTGCCGAGCATGGCCCGCTGTCACTGAAGAGGCTGAAGCAACGTTTGCGAATGTACCAATTCAATGGTCCGATGATGGGAATCAAGGATACTAGGACAGAGGACGCAGGACACAATGCTCCGACCAATTTACGAAAACGAGGTCGAACCAACACTATGAATGCATAAAGGTATAAGAATGACGAAGCTGATTCGTTGGACTGGAGGAAGAGGACACAGAATCTGACGCGAGCTGAGAGCAGAGATCGGCCTCACATGATACATCCTCATTCCGTTTCAATTTATCTCTTTCCCAAAAAGCCAATGGCTGAGGCTAGTTGTAGTTGTTGGTGCAGTCACGAGATGTTGGATGGCATGTTATGGCAGATGGGAAGATGGCAGGCTTGTGAAATGATGGTAATGACTTGACTTGCATTTCGAGAAATGTGTGTGATGAAGAAATTCGGACGTCGAGATTTGTTGTAATTTGTTTTCACTGGGACATTCCGATTGATGCAGTTCTTCAGACGCCCGCTTTCGTTTTCAAGGAAAAAGTGCAGATATTTCACCTGCATGTATATTTGACAGAGATTGCCGGAGCAGAGATTCAGCTTCATCAAAATCATGAGTTGAGATTAAGAGAAACAGAGTGTTACGAAAATCCGGCATTAAGATAGATATGAGATGTATTCACCCAATTTCGTTTAAGGTGATGAAGGACTTTTAGTAGAATTATCCCACAATGATATGAGTAGAGCTGACGTTAGTATTCCATTTAATTTTAATTCATTTATTTCATTTCTCGCATTAAAATATTGTTTCGAGACAACCAGTCAATCATTAATATGAGATGTATTCACCCTATTTCGTTTAAGGTGATGAAGGACTGTTTGATGAATTTTCTCACAATGATATAAATAGAGCTGATGTTTCTATTCAATTTCATTTTATTTCATTTTATTACATTTGTTCATTTAAATATTGTATTGAGACTACCAGTAAATCATTAATATGAGATGTATTTAACCTATTTCA